TGTTTTTAGAGTTAGTATTGTCTTGTGTAGAGATTATTTTGTCGTCTCTAAAAAAACCCTCAATTCTAATTTTTGTAGTCAGGAGAGAGAGTGCATCGATCTTATAAAGTAAAGCTTTTTATAAAGCAATATATAATACTTTTTATACACAATAGTTAAAAATACTATTTGCGATAGATGTGGTTCAAAACTTTCTACATATTAGAAGTATCAACAATATTTAAATCGAACAAATCCCTATCAACCTAAAAATCTACCTATTCAAAAGCCTCTAGGACAAAATCCACTAGCAACTCCTGAAAGTGATCTCATATCATTTGATGAAAACCTACTAACACTTCAGCTGAGAGAGGCAAGTACGCTAGCAGTCGACTCTTTAACTGATGATGTTCTAAATACAGAAGCATAATCAAGTTCTAATACTCAAGAAGTACAAAAAAAGAAATCAATTTTAATAATAGATGAATTAATAAAATAGTTATCAAAGCCAGAAATAAAAAACAATAAAAAAATTAGATCAAAGCATATACCTAAAAATGATAAAGAATGGTATGATTTAATGGAAATAGATAATGAAAAAGATAGCGAACCAAGTGATTCAGAATATAATACTGCTGAAGAAGAATCAGACATTCATTTTGAAAAAATCAAGGATCTATACATTAATAGAATAGCAGAAGCCAGAAAATTTAATGAAGGTGAGGTATGTAATTATTATGCATTTGTACTAAAAGGATACTATGTCAAGGGTGAGCCATTAGCTTTCTTCGAATCAATCAAAAAAAAAATTGCAGATATTTATAAAAAAGAGTTAGCTTTAAAAGGTGGATTAAAAGTAAGAATTGTGTTATATGCATATATGAAGAAAATTAAACTGGAAACTCCAGAACCTTTATATAAAACTTTTCCATTTAAGTATGAAACAATAGAAATTATTAGAGAAGATCGAATTAATACAACAATAGAAAAAAGATATAATGAAATTATAGATTAAATAGAAGACGAGGTATTACAAGAATCTGAATGGTCAACGTCCGAGCAGAAGAGGTATTTATTGAAATAAGCACATTCAGACTATTGCAAAGTAGTAGTTATCTATCTTTACCAGAAACTTTAGATAAGCCACAACTAGAAATAATTAATTCACAAAATAGAGATGATAATGAGTGTTTTAAATAGTGTATAAGTGCATATTATACAAGAGAGGAAGCTATAAAAGCTAATAGAAAGCTACTACATCCTAATGAAATTTGAAGACTTAGACGAAATGCAAATATAGCAAATTTTGAAAGTATAAAATTTCTAGCAACACTATATAATATAGATAAATTCGAAGAAAGCAATTCTAATTATGCTATTAATATATTTAAACTATTTTATAGAGAAGCTTTCAGAAAAATAAAAGTAGATATAGATCCATTACATATTTTAGAACATAATTATCAAGTAGAGTATATGATAGATTTATTATATTTAACAGAAGGTGAAGAGAGTTTAAATGATCGAAAAAATCAAAATGATATACCAGAAGGCTTAAAAACATATTATGTATATATAACAGATTTCAAGCGATTAATGCATAAGTGGAATAATCATCATGATAAAAAATACTTTTGATGAAAATACTTGCAATTTCCATATAGTCGATTAGATTTATTACAGAAACATATTCTTACATGTCTAGGTTCAAATAAGGCTTCACAACATTTAATTCTCTCAGAAGAAAGTAAGAATTATGTAAAACCCAAGTATATCAAAAACATGTTAATGAAACCTTATTTAATAACTATGGATTTAGAAGCCAAAGAAATCGAAGCAGATGAAAAAGATAAAGAAGAAAATACTATAAAAGAAGCAAAGCAGATAGCAGTTTCATATAGATATACTATTCATTATTCAGATAGAACAACACAAAAACTAGTGATTAATCGAGAATCAGAAAATATAATAAAAGACTTAATGGAAAATCTTCAAGAAGATCTAGAAGTTATTTTAGATAAGCTTTGTGAAATAGCTCCATGTGAAAAAATGACATTTGAATTAAGGTGAAAATATCAAACTACAAACAAATATTGGATATGTGAAGAAAAATTACATGAAGCTAGATATAATAAAATTCGTGTATTTGATCCTGAAACCAAAAAATATTTGGGTGCTTCGCATAGAAAATGTCACAGAAAAAAATTAATGATTCAAGATAAGTTAGATGATAAGCAAAAAGAAAAACATAAATCTTATAAGATATGTTTGTATTGCAAAACGTATTTACAAGATGTGGAAAAAAATAGAGTAATAGATCATGACTATATTACAGAAAAGTTTAGAAGACCAGCTCATAGTGGATGTAATTTAAAATTACAAATCGATCCAGAAATAATAAAAATCCCCATACTAATTTGTAATAGAAGTGGTTATGATTTCCATCATCTTATGCAAGAAATAGCAAAAGTGACAGATGAAAAAATAGTACTGATAGCAAATAATTCAGAACAATATATTACTTTCTCAGTTGGTCAACTTCAATTTATTGATAGTTTGAAATTTTCATTACCTGGTTTAGCTAAGATGGCAGAAAACTTATGTGATGAAAAGAAAGGCCAAACTAAAACACCAGAACAATTAGCAAAATGTTTTCTAATTATGTTAAAATTCATCTCACCTCATTTATTATCATTGCTTATACGTAAAGGAATATTCTCATATTAGTGGTTAACTAGTAAAAACAAATTCAAGGAAGCGCAACTACCTCCTCGAAAAGATTTTAATAGTGACTTAGATGAAGTAAATTATTGCGAGCAAGGATGTGAAAACAAAGAATGTAAACATGAGAAAATTTACACAATAACTCAAAAGAACTAAGATTTTGCTCATACAGTTTGAAAAGAAACTGCTTGTAAAACCTTTGGTGATTATCATGATATTTACCTCAAAATGAATATTCTTATATTAGCAAATACATTCAAGGCATTTCAAAAAGCATCTTATTTAGCATTCAAATTAGATCTAGCAAATTATTTAACTACACCAGGTCTTGCATGGGATGCGTGTATAAAGGTAACAAAGATAAAATTAGAATTATTTAACAAGCATCAAGAAGATATGTATGACTTCTTTACTATAATGAAAAGAGGAGGAATGTCCTTAGCTAGAAGACATATAGCTAGAGCAAATATTCCTGGATTAGAAGGATACGATAGAAAAAAAGCAAAAAAATGGCTGTTATATTTAGATACTAATAATCTTTATGGCTAGGCAATGTCTCAATATTTACCAACTGGAGGATTTAAATGGCTATCAACAAAACCTTTGGAAGCATCTCACCTTTTAGTGCAGAAAATTTTAAAAATAAAAGAAAATTCAAATTGAGGATGTTGTTTAGAAGTTAAGTTATCGATTCCAAAAGAATTATATCCTAAATTTTGAGACTATCTAATGTGTTTAGAATGAAAGAATGTACCATATAATTGGTATAGTTCAAAACAAAAAGAATAGGCAGATAAACAATATTCAGATACAGAAAAACTTATACTAACTCTCTATGATAAGGACCATTATGTTATTCATTATAGAAATCTATAACAATATATAAAGGAAGGATATGTTCTTGAAAAAGTATATTAAATTCTAGGTTTCGAACAATCACTATGGTTGGAACCATATATTGCAATGAATACTCAATGACGTGCAAAAGCAAAGAATACCTTTGAAAAAGATTTCTAGAAATTAATGAATAACTCAGTATTTGGAAAAACTATGGAAGATGTAAGAAAACGAGTAAATATAGATTTAGTTAGATGGGTAGGTAAAGAATAGAAGTTACGTAGATTAATATCAGATCCAGTATTTGTTAGTAGAAAAATTTTCTATAGAGCAAATTTGGTAGCAGTACATCGAAGACAAACTAATGTAAAACTAAATAAGCCAGAATATGTTGGAGCATGTATTCTTGATCTTTCTAAATACTTTATGTATGACTTCTGGTATGGACATCTCAAAAAGAAATATGGTGATCGAGTAAGACTTTTATACACAGATACAGATTCTTTAATCATAGAAATTGAAACCGAAAATATTTATCAAGACATGATCGATGATTGTGATTTATTTGATTTTAGTGACTATTCAGAAGATTATTGGGTAGTAAAAAATCTTTCAGAAGATCAGTAGATAATCAATGAAGGTAAATATGTCTTAAAAAATACAAAAGTTATAGGTAAGTAGAGGGACAAAAATGGAGAAGATTGTGCTATTAGCTATGCTGGAGTTCACACAAAATGCTATAGTGTTATATGTGAAAATTCATAAAAAAATATGATAAAAGCAAAGAGTCTTAAAAAAGCACTTATCAAGAGAGAGCTTACTCATAAAATATTTGAAGACTATGTTTTAGAGAGAAAAGAGGATCAACCATGAACTGCACAATTCTTCCGAAGTTACAGGCATCGAATGTATAGAATAAAGCAAACAAAGAGGAGCATTAACCTATTAGATACAAAATTGTGGATAGCTTGTGATATGGAAACAACATATTTATATGGTGATTGTGAAATTCTGGAAGAATAAATATAGCTTTGCTTCATAACATTTTAATATATCTATCTACTATATGACTACCTTTGACAATAATATATATATAATTTTTTACTTAAGCAATTATTAGCAAAAATAAAAATAAGATCGAGCGATCCCTCACTATACTAAATAATTCGTGAATGAACAGATCGCCGAATCTGAAATTAGTTTTCATAGTATCTAAATTTAGTTTTATTAGTTGCAAGAAGTATAGTATATAAAAATGAGTCAAGTATATAGAAATTTTAATTGTAATTGTTAATTATGCAAATAAATAAACTGAAAGATATATTAGTTATTTGCTGATCATAATTTTTTGTAATAAAAATATTGTACTAATCTTTTATGTTACTTCTGTGATAAACAGTTTTGATATGATAGATTGTGATACTTGAACCTGAACAAATAGCTTGGTAATTGCTTCTAAAATGGAAACAAATGTGTCTTCTCATAAAGTATTTAATAATAAGTATAAGCGTTCTCACAAACCTTGAGATCCCACTCTAAAGAATGGAAAAAATTATAAACTTAATATTTAGTGCATTACCCAAATTAAAAATAAATATCTCTTATTCTCAAGTAACAAAAGAGAATACTATAGGAAACGTGACTAAGACTTCTTTATTCTGCTTGTCTGGTAATAAAAATTCGAATGAGCTTATACAAGAGAATACACAAGATTCAGACCTAATAAAGCATCTATTAGCACTTTACCATGATATAGATTATTCATGTATAAGTTCTCAAAGAATTGGATATGAAAATCATGACATTTCCAAATTAAGAAAGAGAAAAAGAGACGTTAGTTCTAATAACATAGATAAATATTCAAGAAAGCATATAAAGAAATACTATTCAAGAAAGCGTATAAAGAAATATTATTCAAGAAAGCATATGGACTGTGTGCTGAGAAAAGAGATCAAATTGACAAAAAAATTTTTTTGAAAATAACAAATGTTCTGGATCAGATGATCAAATCTACACCTATTTTACTTAAGAACTTT